CTCTCACAGCGAGGTTAACTTTCATCTTCTGCAGTCTTTACTCTTATCCAACAGGATTGTATTAGGACTTGTGTTGCACTAAAAGTGATTCAGAAATGAAACCAGGTTCCATCCAGTAAGACCGGAATCCTGAGTGACATGTAGAAAATAATCAGTCCATGCTTATGAAACACAAATACACAATCAGCATGTCATTGTTGCTGCTGCAGAGACAAGTACCTGTATGAAGAAAAAAAATAGTATGCAGAAAGTATATTATACATGTAAAGAAACAACATGATGTGTTTTGTAACCGTACATCCTAATAAAGTGTATTACAATGCAATTGTCTCAGTTTCATTTATTCATTAAATAGATTTTTCTTTGTTTGAAAATTGAAACAGTAAGTTTACATCACTGGCAAAAGCATATAAACATCTGGATTTAAATCAAACACAGGACAGAAAAACAACCTTGAATTATAACCTCGTGATTGTATGTCTCTGTCAACAGTAATCATCTGTAACAGTGGCAGGAAAATGTTTCTATAAAGGCCAAGTAAAAGCCGACATATGTTGTTTTAGCAGAATATCAGCTCGTATCATATGTCTCTGTGTCACTTTCTGACCTCTTTAACCTCCATCTATTCATGTCATATCTTCAAGTTCCTACATGTTATATACAGTACTGTTGCAGTTTAGAGTGACTAAACAAAATTTTACGACAGAGGCATGTATTCACCACTGTTTAAATGATCAAGATCAAAAACTTTAAAGTGATAGACACTGGGTCCGTTTCACAAAGCAGGTTCAACAAACTCTGAGTCTAATCCTGAACTCTGGGTTGCTCAACTCTGAGACAGGAATCTCTGAGTTTCCGGTTCCAGAGCAACGGGTTTGAGTTAGTTTAATCAACTCAGAGTAGTTTCACCTGTGTGTGTCCACCACAACTATAAAAAGCCAGCATCAATGGAACCCCAATTCAATGAGTCACCATGGCAACGGGGAAGCAGAGGGCTACGTTTTTCACCCCACTTTTAGATTAGATTAGATTAGATGCACTTATCTTTCTTTCCCAGTCCCATTTAAAGTGAAGGAAATTCAGTTCAAAATTACAAACAAAATTTACCCAACTAATGAATTTTTAAAGCGTAAATTCAAAATGGATCCTGGAAAATGCGTGTTTTGCAACACTGAGAATGAGGATTTGGAGCATCTTTTTTTTTTTTTGTAATGTGATGCTGAGTTTTTGGCTGGATTTTCAGGGTTTGCTTCAGCTCAAGGGGATTCAATTTAGTCCTTTAACTATAAAAGAAATTCAGTTTGGGATAAACATAGATGATGACATTTTATTCAGTAGAGAACTACGTAGAGCTGCAGCCTATCTCTGCTGACCCTGGGCAAGAGGCAGGAAGGTCGCCAGCCCGTCACACAGCTCACGCAAAGAGACAGACAACCATGCATATTTACACTCACACATGCGGCCAACAGGATCACCAGTTAACCTTCACTGTGGACTGTTCCAGGAAGCCAGAGCGCCCACCAAAAAACCTACGCAGTCACAGGAAGAACATGCGAACTCCACACATAAAGGCCAGCAGGTGGAGAGTGGTAGGAGGCAGAAGGTGAAGAGCCATGGAGAAGGTTCCATGGTGTAATGGTCAGCACTCTGGACTCTGAATCCAGCGATCCGAGTTCAAATCTTGGTGGAGCCTGCTGTTGGCAGAGTGCAACAAATAGGGAGTGTTGTGGTAGTTGTCACACTTCCCCAATTAACAGAAATACTGATGTTCTTCTTCTTAATACAGTACATACAACAAATGTACACATTGTTTCATGCAGTACGCATCCAACTGGGACAAAACACTTTGTATTCAAAATGCACTTTTGACGTACTGTGAACTGTGATATTCTAAATCTTTTTCAGCAAAATATATACAATGGTAGTGAGGATAGTGGAAGGTGCCCAAAGTGAGTAAAGTCATTCAGTCATAAACATCAGTCGGTCCCTTTTCAGAGTAATAAGATCTTGTTCGGATTACTTGTTGAAAACAAAATCTCTTGAAAAATGTCATTTCTGATCTCTAGCTCCATCAGAAAGTTTAGAATGAAACTGTCCATTTGAAGTCAGGATGGCCGAGCGGTCTAAGGCGCTGCGTTCAGGTCGCAGTCTCCCATGGAGGGTGGGTTTGAATCCCACTTCTGACAACAGATATTTAGACAATGTTGACAACAAAGAAAGCACGACACACAGCAGGTCGGCCGCAACACGCTGATGTCAAGTTTCCAAGGACCAGGAATTGCAGGGTTATGTGGAAGCCGT